GTTTTGAATAAGAGGCCTTTTATATAAAGTGCATGCTGCTTTTAGCCAAATTTGATTTGTTTTTCCATCAATTTCTTGTTTATAGATTAGATTTTAAACATTTAGATTAACATTTTAAATCGATTGTCCATTCATGCAATATCTATAATCACTTTGAAATAAAACATGAAGTCTTACAATTTCCGAATTTGGATGAAGGAGTTCATAATGCATCATGAAATCAACATTAATAAAAAATCTGCTTTGTTTTCCCAAGTGCCCTCAAGTTGAACACAATGAGGTTTACCGGATGTGAGCTGATTTTGACTTCAAAATAAAAGTCTGTAATGTGTGGAAGGGAGGGGGACTTACTAACATATAATAATACGAAATTCTTATAGACTACATATAACGGGTAAACACACAATAATGCGGGTTAATATAACAGTTTGTCCACTGTGTGTTGCTGAGGACCTGCAGCTGCTGCCTGCCTGTGATTGGCCGGCTGATGAATAGGCAGAAACAGGTGTTTCTCTATGGATTTGTAGCCAAGTTACATGAAGACACACTAGATAAAAGACACAGTTGCAAGTTAAACTGCTCACTGTTAAATTCAGCATTCATTCTGTGTACAAAAAAATTGTTTACTTCTTAACAATCTATTTAATCTGCCAAACCTATTTGACAGTTGTGTGTGCTCTCCAGAATTTCCTTCATTTTGTCCTATCTGAGGTAAAACATGTGGATATTTTCAACCTTTTACCAATCAAAGAAAAGTGTGGTGTGAAAATGTAAAATAGTGTGTGTGAAAAGTGGAAATTGACTTGGCCTTTTCAGTACTTACTCCTCAGATATTTCTGACAAAAAGTCTCCAGTACTAGGCAGCAGGAATGTCAAATGGTCAGTGTTCAACATGCACTTAAAATGGTTATGCTTTGGATTTTGGTGATGCTTTATTTTCTTCTGAATTCCACAGAGATGAGCTTTAAAGTTCATCCTGTATCTCATCTCAGCTATGTCTTGAAGACTATTTGGCTTAATTTAGCTTTTCAAATACCTGGGATCTTGATGAGTTATTATTATGGTTAACTTGTGTTCATGTGTGTGTTTGAATGGAAAATAATGGGTGGACTTTTTCAGTGTGAACAAGCTACCTATTGCATATCTGCAAAGAATAAGTATAGGCTATGCAGTGTGGAATTGAGACACAAATTGCATATTAAAGGTCACCTATTATGCAAAATCCACTTTTTCCATTTCTTTTATACATCAACATGTGTCCCCTCTGTGTAAAGAGATTCTGAAAGTTTCAGGAAAAAAGATTCTCTCTCTTTTTGTCCTGATCCATTTATATAAAAACCTGTCTGAAAATGAGCTGATCAGATTTTGGCCACTTTATGATGTCATAACGATGTTTTGTCTTGTGTAACCATCAGGGTCGGCCCTAGACTTTTGGGGGCCCTAAGCGAGCTTTGGCTTGGGGGCCCCCCGCACTCTAGCGCGTTCTCACTTCACACAACACGGAACCAACTTTTGTCTTATGATGTTAGCATAAGCACACATATTGTATGAATAAGCATGTAAACACCGTGGACCTAACATCCTCTAGGGGGGTCCTCACCTCCTCTAGTGGGGTCCGGGGGCATGCTCCCCCGGGAAGATTTTTTTTTAAATATTGAAGTTAAAACCATCAATCTGGTGCACTTTGAGAGCAAAATGAAGAGATCTATGGATACATCTCTCAACACCCATATGAAACAAAACTGTAAGCAGATTTTTCTTTATGGATATTTTACAAATCACTCCCCTTTTAAAACTGTATTCTTGTTTTGTCATATAGTATTTCATAACTGTTTTTCATTTATTCTCTCTGGCTGTCCATCTCATAATGTTCACATAAAAACTAGCTGTCAATAGGAATATCATTCAGAAGAATTATAATTTCATGCAAAAATCTGTCACAAAAAGAGGTTGCACATTTACATTCAGGTGTTGTTATGGCAACGTCAGTGGCCAAACAGCCACATTTACTGCTGTAAATACGTTCAATCATGCTGTCGACACGTAAAGCAGTGGCAACTATGCCACCATTTCAGCTGACTTTTTCTCAGAAATACTGTCACATAACATCCATATATTTCAGTGCTAGGTTGATGCTTAGCTAAGCTAACTATGAAACACTTTAACTGACAGGACTCAGGATCAACTGTGTACTGTAAGGTAGCGTCTAGCTTCATGTCGAACAGTAAGTCAACATTTCCCAGAGAGCTTTCTTTGAAATCACCAGGTAACGCTAAAAAACATTACATTTAGATTGAATGACAAAGTGTTTATTTAAAGGGGACCTATCATACAAAATGCACTTTTGTACGTCTTTTATACATGAATATGTGTCCCCGGTGTTCCAGGGAACTCACCAAGTGTCAGAAAACACAACCCTCTCTATTTTCCTCCATACCCAAATCTCTAAAAAAGGGGCTGCAACGGATCTGATAAAAACTGATCCAGATTTGAACACTGTCCTGACGTCAGGACAGTGGCGCTACGGCTATTGGGCCAACTCCACCAATCAGGAGGAGACAGCCACGGCCATTGCCGTTCGAAAGCGCTGGAGACGCTGTAGTACATATGCCAGGCCTGTAGATGGTGCTGTTCTCACAGAATCAGCCCTTGCAAAAACAGAGCGAACATTTTTCAAATTGAGCGAAATGAGGCATGGCTAAAATGCATGATCTGTTTGGTATTTTGAAAAAATAAAAGTATAAATATGCCTTATATAGGTATGGTCCTACACTATATTATTCAAATATAGCATGATAGGTCCACTTTAATATATCTGGCTAGCTATAGCTACTTGCTAACGGTTTAGCTTACCCCCGCGATTCAAAGTAACGTCAACGTAGCTGTAATTTCTCCTGGCTCAAGTGCTGGCTCTGGGGTTGTTGTGTGAACCACCACTTGAGAATTGTCATCTTTTTTAAGAACAAATGTTCTTACAGTATGTCCATCTTCAAAAACTCTGAGTCTGAGACTGACAGTTTTTTTTAAACATTGTCACAGCTCACAGGATAGGTACCTGTCAGCCAATAAGACAGATGTTTATTTCCATTCAACTCTCTGGTTAGTCTGGTGCCTTGCCTCTGTTGCATTCACTGAACACGGGAAATTACAATCCTGCCGTCCTCTCTAGTGTCATGATGAGGTTTGACTCAATAATATAATACATGACTTTGAGAGTAGGCAATCTAGACATATTAACACAATTAATTAAACATACTTATCACGGCGACGGTGTACTGAGATAAAAAACGGTGTACTGAGATAAAAAAAAAAAAAAAATGCATTTTTAATTATTATTATTTTTTTTTGCTTGGGGGCCCTAATGGCGCATTTCCACTACATGGCCTCGCTCGGCCTCGCTCGGTATGGCTAGGCCTCGTTAGGACTGGCTCACTTTATGGCGCATTTCCATTACAGTTTAGGAACTGGGGTAGTATCTATAGTAACGCAGTGTAGGCGGAGCCGTGACGTCATCTTCAATGAGAACCCCAGAAAAACAACACAGCCGTTAGCTGTTAGCACTCAGAGCTCACAGCTCCTCATATATGTTCAGAAACTAGACAAAAGTTAAACAAGTACAAACCACAGACTGCCTGTGTCATGGCGAATACAGTCGCTGCTTTATTTATGTCTGTATAGGCCGTTGTTGTGAGTGTGGACGGTCGGAGCATATACTGCGTTAGCTTAGCCAATCTCCATTTAGAAAACACGCATTTTAAAAGGTTTTTCGCCTTCCGTCTGTCTGCAGACTTGTCAAAGCATTAATTCATGGTTTTTACTAACCGGTATCAGTATGTTGTTACTTCGGCATCATTTTGAAACGTGTATTACAATTAAATCACGGTCAAATATGTCCATCTTGTTGTAGTTGTAGCCCCCTTGCCAGCGATTCTCTCTCTAGTTTAGCATACTCAGCCCGACTCAGCCTCGTTGTCTCTGGCCCTAGAACCACAATTTTATGAGGCCAGAAAAACTGTGAATTAGGACCCGCCGGCCGGTACTAGGCCAAGTGGAAACGCAACTAAAAACGGGCCGCTGACGTCACAGCCCTCTTAAACCGTGCTCCGCGCTGTAGTGGAAACGCGCCATTAGTGGCTGCGGGGCCCTAAGCGGCCGCTTATGTCGCTTAATGGGTCGGGCCGGCTCTGGTAACCATTAGCCAATCACCAACCAAGGTAACCCCCCCCACCGTATCACCTGAGTCTCCTCCTAGAGCACCATTGAGTTCTTTTTAACCAAATATCTCTCAGAGGGGCGTGGGGAGTGGCTCCTTATTTTCAACTAAAGTAACAGACAGAGAATCAGCACTTTTGAAACAGGGCTGAAACAGAAGGGATTATGGGATGCTGCAATGATCTGTTTGGTGTTTCAGCCAATCACTTCAGTGACATGTTTGTATATATCTGAGACGTATAATATATTGATGAAAAAGAGTATAATAGGGGACCTTTAACATACTTCCAAATCCATCTGTTTGTAATGCCTACATTCAAAATCAAGTATGCAATTACCAGGAGACTGAAGTAAACTCAAGCATGAGGTCATTTCTGAATAACATGCGTCGCTCACAATGTTAATCGGTGGGAACTACTTTTGCATTTGGGGATGGTTGAGTTTGTACAGCCTTTCTTCCAATTTGAGCATTAACTACCTGTGCTCAATATTATGTGGGCCAATGAAAACTGCTCTCAATATTTAAGTGTGTCAAATTAATAATAATAATAACAATGATAATATTAAAAATAATAATGTAGTAATAATACAAATTATTGTAATAATAATAATAACAACACTAATAATAATAATAATAATAATAATAATAATAATAATAATAATACATGATCCCCTTATTAGAACAATAATCTTTTAGTTGTGTGGCACCTATCTGTATTTTGAATGTTTTATTTTGATAGGTCATTCAGGAAGTGCTACATGATGCTCTCGTGCCTGACGCTCGCGGAGTCAGGGAGGGAGGCAGAGTTGAAAACAGCGAGGAAAGGGAGGACGGTCGGCGGTACCGAGGGTCACAGGGATGTACAGTAAACACAGGCAGAAAAATGCCCAACTACCACCGGCAAGATGGGGACGTTTGCTCGTGTTTCTTTCTTTTCTGCTGCTGAACGGCACTCTGGACCGAGCCAGCGGGAACACCGGAGAACAAGGTAAAGAGCCGAAATGCTGTGAACTTCTTAGATCTACTAGTTGCGCTTTGAAGCATTCAAGCAGTTAAACACGTATAACATGTTAAAAAATGTATAAGAGAGTAAACATGTTTGTATTTGAAGCTGTAGGCCTATTTGTTTGCTGTGATAGCACTGAAACTTTACTTAGAGTAATTCCGTTATATGAGGTCGCGCGCTGCGTCCGCCAAACTCCATATAAAAATCTGGCCATTTAATGCCACCTTCCTTATGGAGCAAAGACACAAGAAAACATCACCTACTGAATATTTCCCAAGTTATATGTATCAACTTCACATTTGCCATCTTTAACACCGACACATACCTACTGAATTACACTGTGATAACATCTCCTCTTCTCTCACCGGGATCTGGTTAACTCCCACAAGCGCCTCCTCCGCAAACTGCTCGGTGCTGGGTTCAAAGGGGGGAATAAGGTCAAATACTAAAAGCTGACCTTATTGTGTCGTGGCTTTTATGCCGAAACGAACAGGAGACGTTAGTTTAACTGAAATCACGGTGCAATATGTTTTATAATATGTTCCCAACTCGCTGTATGCAAAGGAAGGATAAAGTGTCAGAGTTTCAGACGGGTTCCGGTGCAGCGTCTCTTAATACACGCACCGAAGCGAGGGGCTTTCCACATGGTTTCTTATTTACGATTTATCATAGTGCAGTTTTGTATTTTAGAAAAACATAACTTCAGAATGTAATTGATCTTAACGTTGAATTGTCTCAGATTGATATGTTAACAGTAATACTAGTTTTCTCATCAGGACTACAGCCCTGTCCTCTTTGTGCCTTGTCCTTAAAAGGCAGCAGTTTAAAGAAACGCTGAGACTCCAGACCAGAATGAGCCGTGCCAATTTCAGCACGTTATGTCACAACAAGTCAGTTTATTCTGACTTTATGTGTGAAACCATGACAATGTAAATTACTGGTTGCATTTTATTGCTCACTGTTGGGGGTGCGTCTGACTTGGCTGGCAGTCCTGGCAACACTTTCTATTTGAAACGACATACAAATGAAGTCTAAAAGCAGCCAGATAAAGAAGTGTGTGTGATAGAGGCTGCTGTAAAGATACACACCCTGTCCTGCTGTCATGTGAGCTCATACCACAAGGAAAAGCAAGACTCAAACACTGACCCCCATTCAAGAAATACGTTCCAAGTTAATGGAGTTAACAACCCGTGTGTGTATGTGCGTGTGCGTGTGTGTGTGTGTGTGTGTGCGTGTGTGTGTGTGTTAGTGTCTGTCTGTAAAAATAACCAAGAACATGAACTGTCAAGATGCAATCTGACACCGCAGCCCTGTAGTTTTTAAATATGTAATTCATTTATAATTGATTTCACTTACTTATTCACAGTTTTAATTATTTTTACTAATAGGTTCATCAAAGATTGTTATTAACTTTTTCCGTGGTTATCTCATTCATTGTCCATGATAATATACTTGGCAAATGTATTGCCAATATAGCCAGTTTGTATTGAATTGATCTATAATGTTCAGCGTTTAACTCTGGTCCTCTTTGAGGCTGTAGGCAGTATGCAGTGTTATGACACAGAATTGCAGTGATGTCAGTGATGTGATCGTGGCCAATTCAACTTTAAAAAAAGTCGATCTTCTTAATGCACTCCAAGCTGTTGGAGAAAAAGCTCCAAAGGGCATATTTGAAAGTGTAGGCTTTCTTGCCTTACCAAAACCAAAGTTCTGAGGCCTATATAATACATTTATTGTATTTAATATAACTATTTAATGAATCTCAGAAGTCCTTTAAGAATCGTTTTCAGTTTCTCCAATGTCACATTTGTATTAGATTTGTTCTATTACAGTATATCTCAGCAAACTAGATATATTGGGGTTTTGATTGATGACCATACTTAAATGTGATCAGTGAAGGGCCGGGGTTGGACTGTGTAAACTCAGGTTCATGTTTTAAAGCAAGTCACATAACCATATAAAATATATAACACAAAAATCAACAGAAACAAGACGAGCAACAAAACATAGAGATGAAAAAAGAGTTACATTGAGTGTCTTGAAGGAGTGTAACGGTAAATGAGGTTTGAATCAGTGGTCTCAGGTCGCCCTCGATCACAAAGTGTTTATTTGCCGGTTTGAAATGTGTGATAGAGGTTCGGGTAATGTAATACGGGGTCTCATTCCAGATCTCATTGTGTGTGTGATCTCTGACCATAATTGCAAGGCGGTACTGGAATGCGAAATCAATGTTGAGATGCATTTCTGTTGTGTATTGCAAGCAGAGCAGTGAGTGTTGGAGGAAAGTCATTTGTCTGGCACTGAAAGAAAAATGTAATGTTTAAATTATGAGTGTACTTTAAACATGTTTTTGAGTTTTATTTCGTCCTTCTTATAAGTATATTTAATCACATTTTAGTAGGAATCCTCTGTTTTATAATCGTCTTCTCTTTGAATTTTCTGTCAATGCACACTTAACACTCTCTCCATGTCTACAAGTTGTGTAGATTCAAACTTCATGCAACTTTTGTCCAGTAGGGTGTTTCAAACCTCTGTCCTTTATTGATCTGTCAGTTGATCAATGACCAACATAGAAACCGCATATACAAAATTTGAAAGTATTCTTCTCCTAAATAATCAATCTTAACCTATCACTGGGTTAATGTGCTGAATATCAAAATGTACCTTAATGCAACACATTTTGGTCTTTGCCAAATATTCAAATCACTTTCATCTTTTACCATTTATGAATAATCTGCACTAATGTCCATCCAGGAACAACATTTTTAATTGTTCTAAAACAATACACAATGTGTTTTAATTACAATGATCTTGCATTGAAGCTCATCGTCATGATGGTCAGCACTTCCTGTTCATATGTTTCACAATAAAAGCAACTTAACTGTAATGTAAGAGCGATGTAGAACCAACAATGTAGAAGATTGGAAATAATTGCTGGAGGAAAACAGTATTCAGTATTGATGACAGACATATTTGTATTTGTACCGATGGAATTAGTGCTGTGGAATTGAACAAATATACTGAATTTACCAAGCCTTATTTTTATTGCTTACCAGGCTTCAGCATTATATAAAATACTTAAATACTGACTTATAAAACGGACAAGTCAAATCAAGCAATCTGATTGGTTCTTAGCCGTGATATAATGAGCGCATATCACGGGTAGAATTGTAGTTACTTTTCACAACAAGTCAGTATCCCTCCGTGTCTGAGAAAAGCTACAACCGTTACAACTATTACATTACGTCCGTTACGAAACTAACTAACTTAACAAAGCTTAAGATGGACACATTTAAGGTTAACTTGGACCTCCGGGGTGGCTTTACTATGGAGGAGTGGATTGAGCAGTGCCTATCTCCAGAAAAAAAAGCACCTAAACGACGACATGCAGAGCTACGTGAAGAGCAGGTAGACCAACTGGAAAAGTATCACCATTCAAAAGCTTTCTGATGCGGGTCTTGAAACAAAGCAGAGAAATGATGACCGTTAGTGGCCACAGGTGCGAAAGCTCTCTCCAGAGCTACTGGAAGCAGAATCTCGGGGACCGGAGAAAGTGGAGTCGAAAGTGGAGTCGAAAGTGGAGTTGTCGAAAGGGGGTTGAAAGGGGGTTGAACCACGCCCCTTAACTGTGATATAATGACCATATACCACGGCCTGTCGTGAGCTATTGCTTGATTATATTTGAGAATTCAGGGTATGTACTACTGTACAAGCTATTTCACATTGAAACAACACATTTGCTATAAAACTCAATTTAAAGTGCAATTAAAAAAAATTCGGACAGTAATACGTTTTCAGTTAATTTGTCTTTATTAGGGGGTTGTACATGAGCACAGATACTGGTTAGTAAGTGCTTTATTTTTCTTTATTTCTTTCTTTAATACATACTACCATATGTCCCACAGTTGTCTCCCCGGCTTGAAACTGGCAGCCGGTCAAACAGAAGAGGACTGTGCCACTTCTCCTCTTGTCTGTCCTCCTTTGTGTTTTAGTGTATTGTTTCAGTTTTTGTTGATCCAGCATTTCCTTCTGCAGCATGGTGTCCCCACCATTGCACCAGTTAATTGGCTACACACTATAACTGGCCAAAAAACACATCTAAATAGAATAGTGATAATTGGCTGTTCCTCTGTTCCAACTGCCTGCTTGAAAAAAACCAATACATCATGATTGTGGTGATTGGGTGCCATTAAAACTGGGAGCTGAAATTGCAGCAGTCAGCAAAACCACAGTAATCAACCATCACATCTGCCATCAACATTTTAGCTCTGAACACAGCCGCTGATCATCCCAGGACAATAAATCACTACAGGGAACACATTACATATATATTTAAATAACCACATAACAGGCATTTGTGTGCGTTATGTATTACTTGACTTTTTTAATTAAATAAATAAAGATATCCAATGTGGCTGACCGGTGCAAACGCGCTTCAACGGCCCACAACATTCCCATTTGGGAGAAACTCACTTGCATGTGTTTCACAAATGTGAAACACATGCAAGTGAAGAAGCATGCTGCATGTGTTGTTAAGTTGGGGAAGATGGCACATTTGTCTTTTTATATTTGAATCGTTTTTGAAACGGCAGCGTGTTGTTCCTGATGGAAATGCTCTGGGCCTTTGTTGGAAAAGATATCTATAGTAAAAAAACATGTAGTGACATTTTTCCAAACTACCTCAAACATATTTCATATGTCTGAACACATCTGAGAAAGAGACTCTTTTATATCACACTTCAGTTTTGTTTCCCTTTCTCGAAAGCTCAACATTTGTAAAATGTGGAACTCTGATATTATCAAGCGGAACTCTGTGAGCCTCTCAAAGAAACAAAGTAAAACAAGTTCCTACTTTGCAGTGTCTTAGTCAATACACAGCATCTCTGTCGTGTTATGTTGTATTTTGGTCAAGCACACACTGACAGCTTAGCCTGCATGTAACCAGCTGATACCTTCTTTTGAAATGTTTGAAAGCTCTGTTT